ACAGGGCTCGCTCCACCCAAGTGATCAATAAGGGATTTGCTCCCCGATGCTCAGCACAGGAGGAGCTGGAGATAAGGGAGCAAATTCTGCCCCAGCCTTTGTTTGGGATTAAGGACATGCTCTTGTCCAGGCCTGCCAGTGGTGACAGGGGACACGCTGCTTCTGGTGCAAGCCAAAGGCTTCAATTAAAGCTTTTAATGAGGAAGACTATGCTCGGAGGCAGTTAAAGGAGACCTCGCAGCAAGCACATGTTTTTAATGTGGGATTAAGAATAATTCATAAGGTTGGAGTTCATTAAGACTGAGTTAGGCTGTCTGAATTTTGAGCTGAGCTGAAAATGCTTCAAAAAAAGCAAAAAAAAGCTTTTTTCCCCTTGAAGTGTGTATTAATATGAACAAAATATTGACATGCGTTCTTTTTGTTCCCTTCCTTAGCAGCCTTATCTAGCTAAGGCCAGCTAGAATCTTCTCTGCAAGTAATAAGGGAGGAAAAAAATTAGAAAGCTTATTAGGGAAACCTGCCATTTTTAAAACGAGACACTAAATTCTTGCCAGTGTGGAAATTCAGGAGCTGGGAAATGAGACCTGTAGACTTCCAAGAAGCTGTCTCTGTCCAGCTAAAGTCTGTTCCTATGGTGCGAGTGAATAAAGCACATTTTGGCCCACTAACATTCAGATCCCTGGGGACTTGAATTGCTCCGTCAAAGCCTTTAACTGCACAAAAACGTTTATTTTAAGGTCAGAAAACTAAGCTCAGATATGATCTGCTAWGCTAATTGTACTAAATGATAACCATATTAGAAGGATTTTAGGGTTTTCTTGAGGAAATGTATTGTATTGCATTAAAAAAGGATAAAAAACCAACACTTGTGCAACTGTTTGCCTATAAAAACAGTTTTTACTACTGGACTGAATCTGGAAAGTTTTATAGCAATATGATGAATGAATTTTTTCTTTCATGGTTAATTTTTTGAAAACTGCCATAACTGGTTATTAATTATTTCTGTAGTGTTGTAAGGGATGTGAATTTTAGTTCCCCAGAGTCTGGTGGGTGATTTTTTTTTGGGGGGGTTGGAATTGCTTTTTGAGATGTTGCATTTCCCAGTATGATTTGGGAATTAGTCATGATTCCAGGAAAACAGCTTTTGTTTTGCCGTTTCAAGAGGAGAACAAATCATTTCTCCCCTGCACATACCTCATGGAGAATTTCAAAAGGACTGCAGTATTCAGAARTGGTCCTTTTAATTTTATAATCCCGATATAGAGTCCCTTCCAGCGAGGGAAAACACAGCAGCCCATGGAAAAGGGCACATTTATCAACGAGACATCCCCAGTGGGGTTCCAATAACTGAGAACAACCCCTCCTCCTGCTATCATTCATTTTTATATGGAGAAGGGGGAAGCCAGTCATCGGGATCATTGTGATTCCATGCACAAATTGGAGCTTTATTCTTTAACCCAAAATCGAGGCAGAGAGGGGAAGCTTTCATATTGGGAAAGCTGCGTTTCTCTTTGCCTAATTAAACAGCAATTTCTTGCCATACTCTCCCCTTGGCATGGAATGGAGGAAAGGCAGCAGCTGGAGAAGTTTTAAAGAATCTAGAACATGCCTTTTCCACTCTGGATAATACAGGGATGCTTTTCATTTTCTCTTTCGTTCTCTCCTTCACCCTCTAAAGAAAAACTTGGGGCTATAAAAGATTTAAATGAAGAAATCAGAYCCTTGGTAACTGGAGGTAAAAGAGGGAAGCCTTTTCCCCCCGTGATATTCCTTTGCACTGCCATTTCCAAGGTCTGCATTCCCAGTCCTGYTTTCCTCTAAGACCTTTGTGCCTTTTATATGCCCCTTTCTGCTTTTTCCATTCCCCTCCAGATAATGAATTTTCAGAACATGTCGTCTCTAGGCTTGTCTTTCTCCTGTGACGCCAGGACTGGTACCAGAAAATAAAATCCTGGCTTATCTTTGCTACGCAGTTGGTAGAGAGGAGCAGCCAGCACAGGTTTTTTTCTCCACATATAAAATATTTCACATATTAGATGAGGTTATTCCAGGTACACATTTTTTATTACTTGTCTAGCCTTTAAAATACAGCATCCATACAGATTTAAAACAAGTGTACAGCAAGGCAGGGAAGAGAACAGTGATGGAAAGAGGCAGTAAGGCCAAAAAAACGAAAAAAGACTTGTATGAAATAAAATGTTGAAGAGCAAAGGTCATGCAGGAAAGGTCTGACACACGAGTGGCTGATTTCTGAAGTGTCCTATTATGGAGACAGCTAAAAACTACTTGACACTCACAAGACAGGGCTTTGGAAAAGAGAGGAAATGCGGATAATCCAWTCCCATATTCCAAAGCAAGAAATACCCAATTCTGACTTGTCAACCCAGGTGATCATGWATTTATGCTTCTTTTTGTGGAAGGAAGAAGGGATGAAGGAGAAGACATCCCATCAGCAGCAAAAAGCCCTTTATTCTGCTGTAAAAACCTGCGAACAAACCCGACCCAAGTGTGCAGAAACCTGCCTGCCATATATGTACAGCAAATGCAGATGTTGATGGGAGAACGCAGAAAAAGAGGTATAAATCAGAGACGCAGGGACACAAATGGAAATTCTGCAAGAAACAGGATATTTCTCCAGAACGCCAAGTCTCCTTTAGGCTGGGAAGCACCAGGCAGCTCTCCACTGTATATAATTATAGCTAATCACTGTTAGAAAAGTCATAGCCAGAAATATGCTCATGATCAGTGATCTGTAAGGAGCAGCCGAACACATCTAGAACGAAGCGCAGAATTTTCCCTCGGGGAAGCAGGCTTGCCTTTTTCTACTTAAAACACTTAACAACCGCTCGCAAAGCACCCATCTCGTACTTACTTTAAATAATTCAGCTAAGACCATCTCTCCATAGGCGAGTTAATCCCAAATGCGAGGCGGACGAGGGGGCCGGACCTGGGAGAATGCTGGCAGGAGCGGCTGGAGCTGCGGGCAGGGAGCTGCGAGCGCGGCGCTGTCAGCGGCGGCCGCGGCGCTGCACCCGCCTGCCTGGGAAAATGGCTATTTTATGAATGGGAGGGCAGCGGCCGCTGCTGCGCATGCGCGGCCGCCCGAATCCATGAATGGGTGGGCACCGCGGCGGCACCGCGCATGCTCCGCTGCCTTTTATGAATGGGGGCTGGAGGGGAGCGCGGATGCGGCTCGCGG